ACTGGAACTAAAAAAGTCACCAGAGTTAGAAATAGGTTAATGTTAAAACCAGTAAGCACCATTTTGCAGCAATAGACAAGAAATTGTGGAAGTCTTGACTACGATAAAGACCAAGTAAAATATCCGTTACAGAGCCTTGGGGATTATGTCAAAGCTTTTAAAACTAATTTTTAAAAAAGAAAGAAGAGTTCCTAAATACCGCTATACTAAGTATTTTAAAGGAAGTTTTAAAATGTTTCACCATCCTTGACACAGTATGTTTTCTAATTGCTTGTAATGAAACATTCTGAATTAGGGAAATTAAACCAAGCTGATTACTATTTTGTTAGATATGTGTATTTGTTGGTATGTAATATTTACTACTTCAGACTTTTGTGAAAAAGTTAGTTCACTTACACTTAACAAGTTTAGAACATACTAACCGGCATTCATAGGTCATGCCAACATCATGATCAAGAAATCATCTTTTTGATTAAAAAAAAAAACCATACGTAAATTCTCTTACTCTGAAGTCACTGCTGTCTAAATACTAGCTTGAAAACGACCTGGCTGTCTTCTATAAGATAGTCTGGTTCTAACCTCTTCTTGTGGCAAACAGAGCAAGCCCAGCACTCTCAGAAGACATTGTAAAGTTTTCCAAAGTACTGGAAAGACTTGGGAACCTATAGCCCATTATTTTCTATCTTGAACTGTATATCACAACTGATTCAGCGTGACTTTCTTAACAAAAAGCAGTAAAGGCCAAATGAAAGCCTATAACACTCACTTATCGCATCTTCTTCCAAGTTAAAAAGGTTCAATTGGCACTTGAAATTAGTTACAGATTGTTCAGATAGGTCTTTTCCTTTTTTGAACGGTAATGAAGAAAGCTGCTTCCGATACAAGTAAGGCCACTGACCCTTCCTGTGATTTCACTGAAAAAATATTGTTTGACAAAAAAGAAAATACTGAGCACTACACTGCACTTAGTGCAAACCAGGCTTTTGCATTAGCATAAATGCTAACGCTAAAACCAAACACAATACACTGTGTGAACAAAGGATCCTTAAACCAAAATAAATATTTCATCAAATCAAATCTCAACATAGGCAACGCTTTTAATAAGAAAATGATTTCTCATATGAAAATACATTTTTCAATCAGTAAACAGTGTGCATTTCTCTCTGTAAGAAGTGGAAGAATTATCACAGGACAAAAATAGAATACTTGACAGCCAGAGAGACCCAAGAAGAGTTAGCTAGAAATAAAAGAAAACAAATTTAAAGGACCAAGTTATTCACTACCTCATTTTCCAACTCCCACATTAACTCCTAAAGACAGCAAGAAAAAGCCTTGAAGTGCATTTAGCAAAACGTAGTTAGATATGAAGACAAATTACCAGATGACACTATGCAACACTTCCAGTTTGCGTTTTGTGTAACAGAGCAGCTCACAGCCAAGGATCCAAACTCTGATGAAGGTAGCTTCCTATTTAGCTTTGACACTATCCAGAAGTGAGGGTCCCAAAGGCAACAAATAGCTCCTTACACTAGTTAGTGATGACTCTGTAAAAGCCCTCTTTAAGGATTTTAAAGCATAACAGGACCTCCGCAAAAACAAACCTTCAAGCTCCCTCTGCTGGTTGCTAAACAGCAATGGAAGGGGAAAATAAAAATGAAAGTTTTTAGCTCCATGGAAGACAAATCAGAATAGACCATCTCCTGCTATTTTTCCTCTTTCCTTCTCCCCCTTGTCGCATACCTCAAGGGAAACAGAAAGCTTCTCAGATAACGGACATACTTTCGTGTCCGCACTAAAAATTTTTTACTACGTTATAAAATTTTAAACATAATTAGATTGTATTTTACGTTGTTATACTTGATCATAATTACTTCATAAAATATTGGCCCAAATCTTTCTTGATAATACCCACTTTTCTTTCTCCTTCTTTCCTCTCTAAAGTTTTAATTTTCTCATTATTTTTTCACAAGAATCTATTCATGATATTATGAAGTCTGCCTTTTGTTTCATTTATTAAGACCCAGCAGCAAATATCCATAGAAGCTAGGAACACACATGAAATACTTCCGCTGTAGAATTTTATTTGTCTTCCACTTACATTTACAAATTGACTCAGAAAAAGATAAAGCAGTTTTCAAAATGAACCCTACCCGAGCTTTAAAAGTTTATCATCTTCTCTAACATGTCACTAGCTTCAGAATTGATTATAGTTAACGAAATTTCACTATTTCTTGGCTCTGAGGATCTCCACGAAAGCAACATGATGATTATATCCCATTTCAGTTGAGAAAGTTAGATTTCTCTCTCTTCCTCTCCTTCCTTCTCATTGCATCTGAAGCTTTCTATGGCTTTCAAATTTGGAATTCTGATGACCAAAGACTAATGCTACCATTACACTAGCAGTCGTAAACGTAATTCCAAGAACGCAGCAACGTCTTCCAGCATTTCAAACTTGGTTTCATTTCAGATGTGCCTGCTTATAAACATAAATATTGAAATATTATCTGGTATTAAAGTTACATAAAAGCTCAATCTATTTAACAGAAAATTAAGTTCTACAAAAATACACAGTCAACTTACAAGAAATACTAGCGATGTAAGAAAACAGAGCAAGTAAACGTTTCTAGGGAAACTTGAATAGAAAAAGGATACAGGAGTCAAATTTGTTCTAAGAGTAACTTCAGTTTTAAGCATTTCCAAAATACTAGAGAAAACTATATGCATTACAGATGCAACTTCTAAACCTTTCAGAATGCCAGTTCTAATACACAAATGTTCCTAAAGAGAAAAGAAATAAGTTTTTCCCCATGAGAGGGCAGAAGATCTATACACAGAAGGGACTAGTACAAAATCCTGGCCCCATTAAAATACAGAGCAACTCTCAGAGTGAAATCAGCAGGGCAAAATTTAATTGTGCTTTAAATATACATTTTTTCCTTAAGTCAGCTAAGCTTGCCTACCTCTTTAAAACATAGTTCTGCAGAGGTAAAATTAGCTCATTATGATAATCAAGCCTTTACACTTATTTGTTACTGTCTTTAAAAAGTGACACTGAAAAAATATTGTTCTACCATCGTTAGCAAGCCTGGGACTTCCAGAAGATCAAAATTATTAAACAAGCGGTATATAGCCAGTAGCATAATGAAGCTTATTTAATATTTATCTTGTGGCTATCAAATCAGTCGCATCTCCATCTATTTTTCAATGCCTCCAAATCCACAAGTTTCCAGGCAAGAGGCAACATACTCAGAAAAGCAAATGTATGGGATCCAAGAATTGTTATTTGCTCCCTCAAACAGTTTCAGAATGGCCAGGGACAGTCCAAAAGCAACATGTTAATACTTAATGTTAAAACATGCCAGACGAGCTAGCTGAAGAGCTGTCTAATATCAAACACTAAAACTGCCATAGTTTATGGTATAGCTCTATGAACAAGCAAGTGCCAAGAAAATTATGTGGATTTATTACATATTAATAACTTTCTACTGACTAGCCAGGTGTGTAGCCCTATCATGAGACAGGAAGCAACAGATCTTTCCAAAATGAAAAAAAAAGTAGTAAAAATAAACTCATCAAGGCAAAGGCACACACACACAAGCAGCTACCAGAGTTGAGGGTAACTTGGCTGTGTAGGAAAACCATTGTATTTGTTACACTGTTCAGAGTAGCTACAAAAAAGGTATAGTATATGGTATCTTTCCTAAAATATTTCTATCAATAATATTAAAAGAATGTACCTAGAACAAACAGTTTATAACACGTTTCTCCTCTGAACGGGGGAAATTGGAAGATTCAAAGATGTTTAAAAGAAAGTTGAAGTGAAAATAAATGTAAACATGGGGAAAACGATCACGTTTTAAGAAATCCATTTAATTTAGGCTGCAAATGTGAGAGAGATGATTCCAGAACATTTTAGGCTATTTTGTCAGTCTTATTTTCCATTCCTTATTTTCATAGTAGCTTTGGATGCTTCACTAAGTAATATCCTGCTAAAGCTTCAAAATGATTCGAGTAGCACATTCAAAATGTAGTTTGAAACTGTTCCAAAATGTTTCCTCACTTCTCTACACTTTCACTGAAAAATCCTGCTTGATTAAAAAAAAAAATAAGAAGTTTCTTAGCTAACATTTCCACAACACTAGAAAGACCATGCGATCCTGAACACCAGTGAATTAAGAACTAATTCCAATTCTAAAGCTACATATCTTCTCCCCTCACCCATAAAACAATAAAACAAAAAACTGAGCCTAAGCAGTCAGGAAAAAAAAATTATTTACACCACTATTTATTACAACACAACACAAGCAGTTTCAGCTTCAAATTTCTACAGCCATTTCTTTACTTCACAACAGCAGGAAGAACTGGAAGCTAGTGAAAGAGGTCAGCAGATTCTCTCTTACTGTGCAGAAATCCAGAGGGGCTAAAGGAATAAGTACAACAAATTAGCTTCTCCATCATCACAGTATTGCAAATCACACTATTACACCTGCAGAGAGCAATCCTTTATCTTACAAAAGAGTAGCTATTCCTAATCCAACATAACCAATACCTATCTTGAAACAATCTCGCAGCCTGCCCCTTGGACAGAGCCGGCCTAATCTATTTATCCACTCCTCACTCTGTCCAACACTGCACTTAAGAAAAGATCACCTGTGAGAGGCTGAGGAGGAAAAGCTACTCCAAGGGAGCGTCCTGGTTAGCAAAAACAGAACAGGAACCTTGACACACCAAGGAGGACTATGAAGACCTGAACCTGAGCAAGAGCACTTTCATATTTTTCACATATGATAGAAATTTAAAACACAGAATAGTACGGTAAGGCTTGCGTATAAAAAGAATGAGTAGATGAAAAGGACAGACAGGGAATAACATGGCATAGAAAAAAACAGAAGAGTGAGTGGCATAACTGGCTGCACCCCAAAAAACTGAGAAAGAAAGCAAAATGGAAAAGCCGGAGCATTCAGCATTAAACCATGAGATAGCATTCAACAGAACTGACAAAGTGTTGAAAAATATATTTTATTCCTCCTGTACTAAAGTGATGATACCATACAAGTTCCCAGTTATATGAAAACAGCTTTTGGTAACTGAATCATTAATTTCAGCATTATTACTGTAGCTTGAAAACACTAAACAAAAAACTCTACAGACTGAAGTCCACTCATTTGTTTTAATAAGCGCATTTGCATGAAGTCCACACTGTCCACCTCTGTGTGTTCCATGAGTTTGGCCATGTAAGGGAGTCAGCTATAGAATCATCTGAACTGAACACATCAGTTCTCCAACCATAACAGTCTTCATAATTTAAAAAATTCACTTCATAATTTAAAATATGTCAATGATACTCTGCTTTTCTTTCAGCTAGAAGGTGCAACGTTACTACTTGATTTTGTGAAAAGAGCTTGCAAAAGATATATCAACTTCAAAATGTACAGAAAAAGATATGAGCTGATATTTTTGAATTACCTGATGTATTTAGAAAGAAGAGCAAGCTAGGAGTGAAGTAGCATATATTACAAGTATTTAAACATGTAAGCCATACTGTATACACCTTTCTAGTGTAGTGTAGGGTTAGTTACATAAAAGGTATTTTGAAAGCATGTACAAAGAACTGCAGCTTTGATTAACTTAAACTTGATCACGTAGGCGGGCCAGTCTCTGTGACAGCTCATCCTGCAGAAGTGTGGGGAAAAAAAAAAAGTAATATGAAAATTAATTGTTGCAAAGTTCTGCAATGGTGAAGCAGTCTCATTTCAAGATGGTATGAAATAAACTCAAAGTCATAAAAAGATTTGCTTAAGACCTTAAGAGTGGCTACACTGCGTTGGACCAGAGGTCCATCTAGCTATCTTGTCTCCAACAGTGGATGCCTAAAAACAAAGTGCAGAACACATCAAGTATAGATAATTATTATGTACGATCTTTGCAAATGTAAATGAGAGTTAACAGAACTGCGTCTCTACTTGGATGTGACAAGAACCTCAGTTGCACCCTCAAGTGACCAAGGCTGGTACTGCTAGGAGGATATAGCACTAGATCTAATCTTTTTTTGGAGGATTGGTACAAGGTGAAACTGAACCTTCAGAGAATCTGAGACACTTGTAGCTTCTCAAATGTATGTCAGCTAACACAAATCCCTAGAGCCTTCTGCACTACAACAGGATGAGAGGAGTAAATTGCTCGTCTTGCATGCCTTCAAAAATATTCCTCAGAATGAGAAAAGCAACTCTAAGTATCTGTGCAACCTTTACACCTCAGAACGTGCCCATTCACAAGAAATTCTAAGTTATCCATCTAGAACAAATGCAAAACCCTTTGCACTATTTCTTTAAGACTTTCACATATTAAAGGGAGAAGAAAAAGGCCTAGCGTATGTTCTGGGAGATGGTTGGATTCATTAGATTCAGAGCAGGTAGGACGGGCAACTGGTTTGAGCTCGGTGAAACATCATGCAAAACTACATCTGAAAGTTACAAGTTTGCTCTATTTACTAAACAGGCCAACATACTGTTAAAATTATTTTGCTTTTAAAGACTGTTTCACCCACACTATTTACTACAGACAGATACAATCTGATTAGAAATCGGCAAGCTCGCTCTGAGTAAAGCATTAATGCTCATACCCCACTTCCCTAGAAAACATTCATTTCTACTGAGTCTAATATTTACCTGTTCTGCTGAGGCAACACTTGTACCAACAGAACCTGTCTGTCCTTGAGGTAGTTCCATGTTCAGATCAAGACTACAGGTAATAAAAGAGAACAACAACAACAAAGACAAGTCAGGCATACAGGGCTAAAAGTAGTAGTACGTTAACTGACAAACGGTGTAATACCTGAGATAGCATGAGGTCACTAGTGTCCAATGAACACATGAACAGGTTTACACAATTTGAATAGGAAACTTGATTTACCACCAAAAAGGTAAGTCTTTTACTATAACTAGCAATAGATAAATAAATTCTACTTGATCAAGGCTGAGCAAGATTTCTGTTTAACAGGTATAACAGAAACAGCACATATATGAGTGACAAAAAGGATATAACATCTACAAAAGTTTTACTGCAGAACTTGTAAAAGGTTCTTATCCTCAAGCCAGAGTGACACTTTCAACTCATGTGTCACCAAGATAGTTCTCTGAAATATTTCAGCATAACCTCGAAGGTTTAAAGAAATTAGGACGATCCATTTTTGCAATGTGTAACTAGTGAGAGCGGAACTACAGAAGGTTTTAATGGGAGATCGGGGCAGGGGGAGAAGAAAAGAGCGGAGAGACGTTGCAAGGATTGCTAATGCTAATGCCAACCCAAGTAAATAACGAAATGCAATCCTGACATGACAAGACAATCTGAGCTCAGAGTTAACCTCAAAGCGTTGTTGGAACTGACATTTTATTCAAGTAATATTCACTCAAGCATACTACCTACCCTGCTTCATCTGCCATTTCTTGTAGAAGCATATCCACTTGGTTCTAAAGAAGAGAAATAAAAATTGGATCAGTTTGATGTTGTAGCTTGTGACAAGTTCTTCCATTAAATCTTGAGACAACAGAAATTATTTTTAACAAAACTGATTTAAAGGAAAACATCTTTGACTGGACAACTCTGTACTTTAGCACCAGAGGGCACTATATGAACTCAAAAAACAAGGAGCACAGCTCAGCCTGGCAAATTGCCATTACTTGAACTTTAGCTTCTGAATGACGATACTTCTTATAGGATTAAGCTTACGTGTAAAATATTAAGCTATGTACTTGAATATGTAAGTGTTATCAACTGCTAATTATTAACTACTAAACCACTGTTTTGCACAACACGGAAAAGAAATCTCTCCATCTCCAATAGATTTGATTTCTTGGATGTAGATTTAGGTTTACTTTTTATTTACAAAACATTTATCTCCAGTAAATTTCTCTCTCTCTGACAAAACTTCGGCAGAAGTAACATTTTTCAAAAGGGGACAGGTAATAAGAGGAGTTCTTAGCTATGTTAATCATTGCTTAAGAATTTATTTTAGTAACCGCTTATCTGACTTGAAAACAAGTAATCAATCTTTCCATGGCACATACTACTGCTAAATTTGGTGGTGGCTAATGTTGTTTTCTTAATATCAGGGAGTTAGAACTGTTGATTATTTCACAGTACATTTTGCTTTGATAATTGATTCTGCAGTGTCTTCTGGCTCAAAAGCTCATTAAGAACTCACCAAAATACTGCCTATTCAATAGGAGGGCTAAAATTTTCAATATATAACATAAAATGAAGCCTGCAGTAAGAGCGGAATTGAGTACAATACATACATGAGATCCTCTGTATTTGTGAATACAACTTGAACTAGTGTTTAAATCACAAAGAAGCACAAAGCCAAAGCGGTAACACTGCATTTCTCAAAATAGGCAGAAAGGAAAAAAGAGAAGCAGACAATATTTCCATACAGTTTAGTCACATGCAATTTTTTAAGCTTGCTTAATTTTAATTTACTATTCTTACTTGTGGCGTTGTTAGTGTAGTAGTGCTGCTCATTGTGTCTTCCATCTGTTGCGTCTGAACATCTAGTGTTTCAAACTGATGCTCAAATTTATCCATTAGTGCAGATATCTACAAACAATAACAATCCAGTCAATGATCTGCAGATAACAGAAGAGCAATATATCTCAACAGGTAAAACTAGAATCACAGAACAACTAAGACTGCACGCAACTTCTAGAGTTCATCTGGTGCAACATCCATCCCTACCCCTCAGCAAGGCCAAATTTGAAACTGATTTAACTTTGAAGTTAGAGCAGGTCACTCAGGGCCCTGTGCAGTCAAGTTCTTAGTATCTCCAAGGATGGAGACTCTCCAATCACTCTGAGCAACCTATTCCAGCGTGCAGTAACCTCACTGCTAAAACCTTTTTCCTTACACTTCATTGGAACGACCCTCGCATGTAAAACTTGCATCAACTGCCCCTTGTGCTTTCGACGTGCACCTCCGAGAAGAGTAAGTTTCTATTTACCTTTTCCAAGTTCATGCTCTTCAGGGTGGCATCCATAGATTTAACTACCCCTGCCATTGACTTTGTCACCTGAAATGAGGTAAAGGAAAACTATTACAAGAAGAAAAAAAGGAAGAAAAAAGAAGTTTCTTAACAAGCTCTTTTCTCTAGCTGAGAGCTTCTACAATACCAATTAGGGCAAGCATTAGTGCTGTCTAGACCCTTCACCCTTTTTATGCCTCCTGCCATTTCAGTTTATAGACTAACTCATTCACTTGAAATAAGCGTTCCAAGTTGAAATGCACTAAAGAAAGCAAGATCTCTATGGCATATTAGAGGGTCAAATGTCAAGAGATATCCTTGGCATACTGATTATGGGGTAGAATAACCTGTCAGTCTGAACAGCAGTACAGTAGTGTACCATGTTAAACAACTGCATGAGCTAAAAAGGTGTCTAAAATCAGGAAGTCCTATGTCACAACTTTATGCATTTGTAAAGTGAAAGGGAGCAGTATCTTTCACAATAATCTTAACAGCCTAACTAGAGAAGACCCTGTATCTTTAGGAGCATGAGTAAGATCTATCAAACTGTTTTAAAACCAACATAGGTTACAAGCTACAAGACTCAGTGGAGAGCAATTTATTTTTAAATAGCAACTGTCAGTAGAATTCCATTTCCTGATTTACTATTGGCTACATCTAAAAACAAAACTCAAACTTTTCAGCTCGTTACAGATAGAATTAAGACACTTACAAGATTGGAGATCCTGTCCTTGCAAAAGATTCATACAGAGAACCGCGAAAACAGCTTTACCTTGCCCATCGTCACTGCAGTCTGAACTCTTGCTGCTACAGCATCTACCCTGGCGCTCATGCGCAAGAAATTGATCGCTTGATTCTTCTGTCGGATAGCATTCTCTGCATGTATTCGTGCAACTTCCATGTTACCCTTCTGGATTGCCTGTTAAGAATAAATGCATTTCAACTTTCCCTGATCTTTGTAAACAGGATTTCTGGATAGCCTACTTCATTTTCTAAATAAGCATTAACCCATCGCAATATCTTTTTATGAAGAGAGGAAAAAAATCTTATACCTTTTTTCCTCAACAGTTCTCAAACTTTTAAGATGTGAACCCTTAACTTTCTTCCAAGGAAAGAGATGTCTAGCATGCACTTCAAGTAGGAGGTTTTACAGAAGGCTCAGAAGTAACAAACCACAATTTTACCCTTTCCTAAAAATGTTTTCAGTATCAATCACCAAATATAGATACTGCTGCCATGACTGTATTCCATGGACAAAAAAATAGTTAACTAAATTTAGGCGCTGTCTTTACTACTTCAAGGACTCAAAAACTATTTTAAAGTTTTCCTTCTTAAATACTTTTAAAACAAGATGATAAACATTAAGGCTAAATTTTTCTAACTTTGGGAATAATGTAATCTCTCTCAAAATACATTTAAGACAATTTTCTAAGGAAATAAATGCCACATGCTCTTAATAAAAGACTGTATTCTTATACTTAATAAGTTTTATAGCCATGTAACTTAAATTACAAGCATCTATCATAATAGTATTAGCATGAATAGCAGCAAAATGATAAAAAAACAGAAAAATTCTGCCGCAATTTGTAAATAACAGATCTAAAAAGCATACTTTTAGATTCACTGCTTACCTTCTTAATTTTTGCCTTTTCGGCCTTTTCTTCTTTGTCACATTTTTTTGAATTCCTGCTAAGTTCCTTTGCAGCAAACTTCAAGTTAAACAGGTGTTCTACAGCACAAGTTAAGGGTCCAAAAATAGGATCAATACTTACGTACAGTATTTTGCTCTTGTTTGGTGCCCCACCAAACGTAATGTATATTGCATTTCCTTTTTAATCACATTAGAACTTGTGGAACGTGATTTAAACAAGTCCTTGAAATTCACACAATAGAGAGACCTATCAAGCTGTTTTAAAATTACAATGCCACATATCGTTATCACCTGAACTCTAAAACGATAGAGAAATAAGTTCAGATCCCCAACTAGCTTTGTTTGAAAGTAAAACTAGTTCAGACTGATCAAATAAAACAAACATTCTTCCAGAGAAACTCTGAAAGCCTTATTCTGTCAGTTACTTTCACAGACAGACAGATAGAGCATCCTTGGTTCTCAGTGAACTGGAGGACCAAAGCATATGAAAGTTATATGCTCATTATTGACCTGTCTGAAAAAAGAAATAAAAACAAAAAAAAAAGACATCTCTCCCAAACAACAGAGAAGTTTACAGTGCAGTAGTAAAGAGGCTTGGCTGGCCACGCACAGATACAAACTAGCAGGCAGGACTGTCTTGTCAAGCAACAGTATGATCTCAGGTTTAAATTGCTTATGAAGCCACTTTACAGAGCAGCCTCCCACCCTCGGGTCACTCAAGTGATTCTGGAGTTCTCTAAAAGTTCTATCATCTGTTTTTTTGGGAAAAAATACTTGATGTCAGCGAAGGAAACTTCTGTTTTGTTTTTTTTTTCCCCCCCAAGGTCTGCTTAAGCTTAAAGTTCTAAGAAGACAGTAGAACGAGACATGACCGTAATTTAGAATGATCTGCATTAAACTGTTACTGATGGAGGCTAACTATGTGTTGCCAAAAAAAAAAAAAAAAAGCATATATTTAGAATCCTGTTAATGAAAGTTCCCAAATAACATCAGTCTTTCCCATCTAAAAATGAAGAGAAAGCTTTATAAATTTCTTTCATGTCTCCTTCTTATATCCCAAGAGGAAGAATGCAGTAAGATGATGCTTAACAGTTAAGTGAACGCACATAAAGCTAAACATTATGAGGTACTTTAGGTTTCTTTCATTTTAAGTATATAATTTATACCAGAACTTTTTTTTTTTTTTAAATAAAGTCCAGGCACCCATCCTGAAGCTCTGACAGCAACCTGTAGACATCACAATGTTTGCAGATGCATTTGTTATCCTATAAAGGTTACAAGGAGGTAACAAAAAGGTAACAGCTATGCCTGCACATTATAATATCCTTTTAAAGCACCTACCAGTAATACTAAAATTGTTGCTTGAATTTATGTTTTTGTGCTTTAAAAGCTAGGTCACTGTCCCTTTCAACATTACTAAGTGCATTACATTGACCTGTTCACAGTCACAGATTAGGTAATTTACCAAACAGGAAATCTGATACCTGCAGGTTATTCATTCAAATCATACTTCAGCTCAGTGACCAGAATAACTAGATAAAATATGACATCACTTATTTACAGCGATCGCTATAAGAAACAGCTTTTCAGAGTTTATTTTGAAATAACTTCCTCAATTACTGCTTCGGGACATCTACCTTTGACACTAAAATAGCTCACTCTGCTACCTCACTCACCTTTCACCGCATGACAGACGCATACTTGCTCCTCCCTCCAAGCATCTTTCTCAATGTGCAGAAACTCCTGTGAAACTAATTTCCTCAATTAACCGTGACTCACACAGTCAGCTGCTCCAGTGCTTCCATCCAGTCAGTCCCTATCGTAAGGGATGGTGCTCACCACTAGCAGCACATTTCAACTACATCGAGTCAAACTCCTTACCTATAACCTTTTAAGACTTAACTTTTTTGTAACCTGTGAGCTGAGATCTTTTTCTAGAGCAAGGAAGTCCACAAGGGTTTTCCCCAGCTAACTTCCTCTCAATACCAGAAAACACCAAGCAGTTTATTCCGCTGACAGCAGTCACTATTTGAGAAAATGCCTAATTACCATTAGGTTAGTGATGCTGACTTTACAGCTGTCTCAACACAGAACCTTTCCCCATGTGCGGGCATTTCATATGTTCCTGGGTTTTAGGATAATTTGCACTGCTGGCAAATGTGTGTTTTCTGCAGCAGGGACGGAGCTGCCCCTCTTTACACTACAGAGCTGTGCGACCAAACTTCACCTTTCCCCTGCACGCATCCGCAGCAAGGATTAACTGCTTTGCATGAAACAAAGTCAGACCTGATCTTGTCCTCAAAAAGGGATATATATACACACGTTCCCTTTTCCATCAATACACGAAAGGTGAAACCCGAATTTAGGAAGCGCTGTTTCTATCAGCTCCGCACCAACAACTCACAATTTCCCCCTGTGGAGAAAGGCTTTTGGTAGAGGGGCTCTTACCACCCACCGGGCACAAGCAGCCCCTCAGGCAGCTGAGGCAGGATGCTCTTCCTCCTCCGCTCCCCCTTCCCCCCGCGGGGCTGCACCCTTTCGGCAGCTCCTCTCCCG